AACGGTAATTTTGACCCCGGCTCATTTGTTTCTAATTGCGCTTAATTCATTTCAGTTCTAATTGATTTCATTCAATGTTGAGTCAATGAGATTGTCAAATCATCTTACTTGGATTGAACTTTTATTTATTAGGTGTCAAAGGCCAAGGCTAAGGCCTCTAAACATAAAGACCGAGCTCAGTTGCCGAGGACTGAGCCCCTTCTATTACCGAACTTCTATTCTCTTCAAAACCAAACTGAGCCGTTCCGTAAGAATTCAATAGCAGCCGGAGGATCTCTCTTCCCCTATTGATTTTCACGGGAGCAATGGGATCCCCCAGACCCCCCCAATCCCTTTGAGGCCTCGTTATTACAGAGGCCACCCACGTTTGTTTTGGGGGCCCCCACGACCAGAAGAACGTAAACCCTAGGGATTCTCTTTGCAGACGCCATGAAAAACGACCATAAATTCCAACCTCCGACACAGAGGACCATGTCCATTCTCGGAATTTCATCTAAGGCAGGGCCCGTATGTATCCCTGTATGCAAACGCTGTAGCCCCAAGTTGTCCCACTTCTCACCTTCGTACTAGCTTCCTTCTCCAAAATTGTTGGGGAAGAATTTGCGGAACTCTTACGATTGCAGGAGTCCATAGATGACATTAATGCGAGCAAATCCTCGCCTGGATCCGTGAGGAGAGTCGGATCAAGGAGGCGAGGGCTACGGTGGCCGCATCGCCCAGATCATTGCCGTCCAGCACAAGCTCCTCCACCTGTGCCGCGTGGGTACATGCCGAAATCACCGTACCCATTTGGCTGGGTTCCTCGTTTCACTGACGCTGGTTTCTGAGAATTTGTAGAGGGAACTTGTAGGGACCCTCTTTTGGCAGTTGCACATGAAAAAAGTTTAACAAGTTTCTGTCGGGCCTTGGGAGAACTGAGTGGCATCTTTGAAGACAAAGGCACGAGGAGAAATCCGTCATTCTAACCTTACTTTCTAGAAAGCACATTTGTATTGTTTGAGCTGGTGGACCTGTCATGCACTGTCAAACCTCCCTGCTGTCCTTCTGGCATCTTCTGCCTAAATGCAAGGCTTAGGAAGTAACGGCGGTTGTTAAAGACGACGATGTTGATGGTTTATCCAGACGTTAGGGTAGATTGATGGAACCAAGCTCGTGTATGCATTGTCAATGCGGCTCGCAAATTTAGATGACTGTAAAAAAACAAAACCTGACGCCCTTCATCGATGACATGTGGTCAAGATCCCAGGCACTGCAAAGCCGTCGCCGCGGTGCTCCAAATCCTGTGCAAGTTAGAACCATGGCTCAATTCTTGGAGATTCACAAGTGAACTACGCGGGTTTGCTCTCAAACTCAGAATTTGATACAACGTGCTTGATCAGGAAGCCACGAAAACCACAAACTAAAGCAAGAACCACAAAAAAAAAACAAAAACAAGTCTGGTCCAGGAGAACTTTCTGCAAGAGCTCGATGCCGGTGGCGTGGAGGCCACAATTACTCAGGTCAAGGTGGCCGAGGTAGTTCAAGGCCTTGGCTTTAGCTCCGCCAGAGGCAGTGAGCTAAGATTCACATTTTAAACACCTTCAGCCTTGTAGTGAACTGTAAATCTTGCTGTTGGCAACCTGGCAGCCTGCGCCTGCAGCTGCGAGAAGAGTCGGAACCACGGAAAGTCCACCTGTTTTCCCTCCAGCTCGTGCAGCTCAGCTTCGATTTCTGCAAGCCTCTGGTCTGCAGCCTCAATGCCAGCGGTAGCCTCGCGCCTCATCTGAGCAGAGACTGCAAAGTCCTTTTGCTTGGCGGACTCGCTCTTCTTGCCGACGTGCACGGCCCTCTCCGTGTTGCGAAGCTCACGTTCTGCTCTCAGATCGAACATTCGCTGCTCGGAGTCCGTGCCACTGCCCAGATCTACGTGGGCAAGACGGAAGCGGGCCTGCTTGCCCGACAGCCTAGTGAAATGCAAAGCTTGAGAAATCACCTCCTCACCCACCACTCCGTCCAGCAAGGACAAGTCCAGGCCTCTTAGCTGGTCCTTTTCAGCAGCTGCCAGCAGACTGAGCACGTCGGCAGTGCTGCAGCCCGCCAGGCTCAGATTCAGCGCTTGCTCAGGCTCCATCACAGCGACGGCCATGGCTGCTTGAATAGTTATGGCAACGCTGGTTTAGCCACATCCGCGTTCATAAGAGTTCTACATGCCTTCCCATCAACAACCACGCAGGGGCAAGTGTCTGATGTGCCGGTTGGATGAGAGGCACTGCTTGATCCTGTGATGGCTACAAAGGCCCGGCACAAAGGCAACATGGACATTTCCCAAATGCAGTGAGATTTGAAAAGGAAGACTTGGTCGGAGCCCATCGGCACATCACAAAAGCTGGTCTGCTCTCCAGGTTCCCGACCGTAGCCGCCCATGAGGCCGCCATGCCTCGGTACCGTGCTATGAGGATATCTGGGAACCCAATAATTAATAGCGAATCAAGTAGAAAAGATACTGGCAAATGAAATGGAATCAGGGAGTGTGGCGGTCTATCGAGAGGATAGCTGAAGCCTGAAGTTCTTGTGCAGACAGAGTGCTCTGAGGAGGACCAAGCTGCTCGGTTTGGAGCTAACACTGTTAAGACCCTGCCGAAATCAAGTTATCCTTTCAGCGTCATGGTAGTCCAACTCAAGGTTGAGATCGGGGAGCCAAAGTGTTTCCTAAGCCTGCTTGATTCAAGCGCGTATTCTGAAAGCTGAGGCCCCCGCATGGGAGCTACGCCTGCCAGAGGACCCGGCGGCGGGGCCTTGAGTTGAGTATTTCAACACTCCCGTCATTCTCTCCAGTCAGGGTTCTTTACTTTGCTGTCTGCTGACCCACGCAGCTTGATCCTGATCATGGCTACACCATCTGAGGCACCCAGCAGAGCGGCCATTGCCATAGCCATTGCTTTTGCCTTGACCCTGCAGCAGAAATTGGATGACCTTGTGACACTATATATCTTATGCTGCAATGCCACACGATGAAGAGGCTTGTGGAAACCGCGGGCACAGGCATGTGCCAGTTCAGGACCGTTCAGCTCAAGTGACACGTTGTACACAGCATGTGGTGGCGACATTGATCAATGCAAAACATCTTCTGCGTGCCTTGCTCCCACCTTTGCCGGACTTTCCTCCGTTCTTGCCGCCCCCCTGGCGCAAGCTCAGACTCTGAAGGTCAGAGTTGCTACAGTAGTAATAACCGTGTGTCGCTGAATTTTCCGAACCCAAAGGTCTCAGGCTGAAGAAGTCGACATCAACGGCCGTTCTGAACAAAGTCTGGACAAGTATCACCCAAGAACCAAAATGATATGTTTAAGGCACCATGTGTCCAGTCATGGCGGAACAAACGCTGGCTCCCGCAATGCAATGGTCTTCTCCGAACACGAAGCAAATGGACGCAGGTATACGTTCCTGTCCGTCACTATAGCGGTGGGTGCTCTTGTTTTGAAACAAAGTTGCAGGCGTGAGAGCGGCGGTTATGCTGGGTGTGGCAGTAGTAGCGGCTGCGGCGGTGGTGGCAGCAATGCCGGTGGCCATGGTGATGGAACGCTGTGCTGGTCGTTGGCACTACAGAAGTGCTACCGTGAAGTACATCGATCCAAACAAACTCTGGGCCTTGGCTTTGCCCTTGCCGCCTGCAGATCGAGCCCCTGGGCCAAGTCGAGCTTCACCAAACGTGAGCTTGGAATGTCTAAGGCGTAGTTATACAGCGAAGCTACGCGATGGGACCTGCAGCTATGTTACCCCACCCACGCACTTCATGATGCCCAAATACGTGTGCCCTGCAACATGATTCGTACAGAGTCGTCGCTGTCGCTCCAGGTTTTGGTTCTGCTGACCTTTTAACTGTCATTACGTCGTCAACCGTGAAAGCGACTGCTGAAAGACTTAAAGCTGTTCAAGAGCTCCAATCAGGAGTGCAGAGGTCTGGTTTCGCTTCAGAAGTTCAGGCAACCGAACTTGGCCTCCTTCTGCCCGAAAAGTTCGTTGCTTTAGGGAGCTGAGATGTAGGCCCCAGTACAAGCAAACGCGAAGACCAAAAGAAAGCTAGCAAACAGAAACCTCAGCCCCGCCGGCTGCCAATGGAAACGAACCTCGTGAACTCCACCATCTCCCAGGCACCTCTAGAGGACTTCACTCCCACAAGCTGCCTGAGCTCCTGTAGGCCAGCTTCAGGCTTTGCATCTTTGGGGCTACGGGTTTCCAGTTTTCAGACCCGGGGCTCCAAAGGCGGTTTCAGGGTGGACTGTTTGCAGGTACGACAGCATCTAGCCGGCCTAGTCTAGGCTTCACCCCCCCATGCTTTGTAGTGGCTCTACAGGATGTTGCTAAGGATCCTGCCACCTCTGGGTGGAAATGCTTATCTTGTGATGCAGGTCTCAATCGCTGTCATCACCACCACGTGGCTCTTGAACAAGCAGCTCTGGAGATTATGCAGATGAAGCTACAGGCAGACTCAGAGCAAGGAACAATAGGCAACCTAGCGTCCGGCAACTTCCAACACATCTACAAAGCCTACCCGACATAATAAGCACAAGCCCTTCCTTGCCTAGTACTGTAGCAGTTGTGCTTTGAACCATGGATGCCCCGCGGCCAAAAGAGCACCGAAGGCTCAGAAATCGTTTGCACATCCCTGATTCCCAAGCCTGGTAGAGGTAGTTTCCATAAATGGGGGTACCCTCAGTATAGACCCCCAAAATACTGTAATCCTAACTATGGAAAGACACCCAAGATGGCATTCCTCTGTATCCTTCTCTCGCCCAAAACCCATCAGCGCTGCAAGGAGGAGTGCACGCCTCGGGTATTTCCTGATCCGCCGTTTGCATGACCTCAGGAGGCTGATCCGTACGTGATCACGCACAAAGCGAATTGGGAATTGCCATTGCCCGTTACTTCCTCTGAACTGCCTGCGGGAACCATGCGTATCCCATGTGGGTACATGGAATCTACCTCTGGTAGAATCGCGACAATCCCACACGCTGATAGCGTACGAAGCTTCAACCCACGCTCAGCAACGAATCTGCCAAGAAAGCACCCCAAGTGCCGTACGTCTAAGATGGCTTTTGCTTTCTTGACGTCCATGGGGTCGTCCCGCACTAGAAATGTATACCTGAACTCAGCCGGAGGTGTCGAGAGGTAAGAGCTTGTTTTTGCAGAGCCTGTCCATGTTGCACAGTTGAACAACTTGCCATGAAGGCATTGCTCACCTGTGACAGCCTGACCCTGCACGGTTCGAAAACTCTTGTCTTTGAGCAACCCTCTTGTTCTTGAGAGGATGGGAGAGGGTTTGTTCTTAACAACGCCCCTTGTCCTTCAAGAACAACGTGCTGGCAAGGCATGCCCCATCATTCTGTACAGTAGTAGTTGCAAGCATTCACAAAGCTTAGGGGTTCCGTCAGTTGTTCATCAAGTGTCAGGTATGTATTATTCCGAGTGCGGAAGGGCCCTTACCAAAAACAGTCAAGGAAATTCTGTGCCGCTTTTCAGCAAAACTTGGAGATTTGATTTGCGGATGATATGTGATAACGAATCGCTGTTCTGAACACTGCTATCTTAAGTCTTATCTGACATCTTTTTCCAGGGGAACAATGTAGACCACTTTGTATGCTCCTCACCAAAATACGAATTTGTTGTGTTTTGTTGTTTGATGTTCAAGAATACTCAGGGGCTCTTGTGTTTACTGTTCTTTCCAAGCGGGTTACTGTAAGCGTTTTTGTCATGACAAGCCAGATGCCCTTATTGCTTCTCAAAAAGTTGATCGTCTTATGCATTCCTATATGAATACATGGAGCGCTCATATCTTGTCACAACACTTTTGACTTCGATTTTGTCTACTCGTCGCTGAAGTTAGTACAAGTCAACAAGTTGTTGTGCTTTGTTGATTAAGCTGGTCAGGGATGCTCAGTTCTCATGTCTTGCTGATATCAAGCGTCGTAATTCTTGCGGGAATACTCACAGTCCAGGTCCCTTTTAGAAGCACCATGGTTTAAGCTACATTGTAAACGGCTTGCAAGAAGTTAACTGTTTTATGTCTTCTTATAAAAAATGGAGCGGCTCATACCTTATCACTACAATTGGGGGGGGGCGCATATGCGTCATTAATTACTAACTAGTACATGTTGGCTGAGATGCAAACGGGTATATTCTCTTCTTCCTGGTACAGAAAACATCTCAGGCTTCCCATGAATTAGCAGTGTGGAACATGGTCTCTTTTCAAGTCAACCTTCAAGTAGCCCCTGTTGTGTTGCTGGCAGCAAGCCACTGACAGACTAGGCCAGAATTCATGTTTGTTGCGAGTGTTGCCCAATTGCAAGATCTGCCTCAGAATACAGAACATGTCCGGAGACATGAATCCTAGACGACGGGAAAACTCTTCTAGATGGGGAAGAGCCTCACGACTGTAATTAGGCTCGTGATAACAGGAAATCAAGCGGGATTAGCGATTTTCTTGCATCCTGGGTCTGTTTGTTCCTGAAACGTTTTTCAATAACGAATTTAGTTGCAGCAAACAAGAGGAAATCTTCAGAATAAGTACCTTTTGTACCTCCAGCAATTTAATACAAATGTGCTTATATAGTGTCTGCACGGGATTTTTAGAAGTCAGTCGCAGAAAAATGCAGGCGACAGTGTTAAAAATAGTTTGTTTGTGTATACTGTTTTTGTTTGCGCTTTTCGTGGTCAGGGCATGTCTTGTCTTGAAGGAAAGTCACATTTCCCGGTGTGAACGATAGTTTGAAAATCATGCTTGTTTGTTTGCTCTTGGTATTTGCACGGTTTTCATTGTCAGGGCAAGTTTTTTCATTGTGTTTACCATGGTTCCACTGCTACCTGAAAAAATACATTATGGTAGGAGAGGGCGCGCAAGCGCCAACGAGAAAATAATTTCACGCGCCGACTGACATACG